GAACGTACTCTCGGGTTTCAAGGTTTCCTGGGAGGACGACGTGGAGAGTGGAGACAAAGATGCTGAAAAGCCGGGAAATCGCAGTCTCGGAAGCTCCCACAGGCACAGCCTGCTAACGCAGCCCCGCTCGGGGCCACGGCGAGACGAATCCGGACCCTTGCAGGCTGCCTACGGCTGGGGAAGCCAGCCGCCGGTCTGGGCGCTCCCGCGAGAAGACTCCGTCCCTAGGGATCATGGGGGCGGCAGACGCTTCTGAGGAGCCCTCAGCCCGAGGCGGAAGAGCCCGGCGGGCTCGGCAGCCACGTGACTGTGCGTCTGCGGCGCCTATTGGCTGTGCGCTCACTGGCCACGCCCTAAGAGCCGGGCTCCAGCTCCAGGGGGCGGTGCTGCAGCGGTTGCCATGGCGTCTTCCGAGCGCGCAGGCGTGGGCTTAGGGTCGCTTTTCGGGCCCTAGCTACTGGCTCTCCGGTTGGCGGGTCACCTTTGGTTGCTGATCTTCGCGCCCTGAGTCTTTTGGTCTCCAGCAACTTGCAGGGCAGCCGTCCCGCATGGGGCCCTTCAGTGAATGCCCTAAAACTCCGGAGTCGCTGCAGGAAAGCAGGCTTGGCTGGAGGGGGCACGTCCTTGCCGCCCGTGTCGTCGTGGTGCCTTGAGGGGACCCTTCTGGGAAGATCCTTGCAGAGGCCATGTCCCCTCTCCACGGCATCTAAGCCCAGTCCCGACTTGCTTTTCACGCCTGTCCCCCTGGGGAATGTCTACTGGACCTCAGGACAACCCATCACCCCACCCCGTGCATCCCCAAGGTGGATCTGCAACGAAACCTCTGTGGTGACTCACAGTTGCGGATTAGTTATCCCCTTCCCGGCAGAAGGTGGCAGGCTGATGCTGGCCTCATTCTTGTGTGTCTGACAAGTCACAAATGTGAATTCACATCGTCACAGCTGAGTCATGCTCAGGATTTCCATGAGCCCTGCTGGGGTGTCCAGCTGAGCTCCCTTCCCCACAGCCTCCTCCAGCTCTGCAGCACCAGGCACCAGTGTGACTCATGGAGGCCTGTGGAAGCCGGGGCTGCTCAGCGAGGCGGAGTCTAGGAGTGGGAGAAAGAGGGAGCCCGTCAACAATTACAGTGCAAACGCTGCAGCTGCCACCCCTGAGAGTCTCCAGTTAGGAATTGGTTTGTGAAGTTCATTACCCTGTGAGATGAGTTTTATCTCTATTTCACTCAAGAGGATTCTGAGGCTCAGGAGGTTGTGAATGACTCGGGGCAGTACAGCTGGTAGGTGGCAGAGTTGGAATTTGAATCCAGGTCTTTCTGACCCAGGAGTTCAGGCTTTTTCCCAGCCCAGCCTTTCCACTCGACCCCAATTAGCACAGTCAGATGCTGGGTGCCAGAGCTATTTACTTTGCCTGCAGGACTCCAGGAGCTGGCTCCTAATGACTCCATTTGAAATGGTCTTTTAGGCAAAGGAGACTAGATAAATGTGGAGGAGAGGGAAAGAATTTCTGGCAAAGGGAACAGTACGTGCGAAGACGCTACAGAAGAGCAAGGCTTATTATTCCAGTGCACTTCCAAACCCAGGCATGGTGTTCTTCCTTCCTGCGCCTTTTACATCCCCAGCTACTGCTTGGCGTCACCTGGTTGTCCTGTGGGCACCTGAAGCTCAGTGTTTCCCAGGCTGAACACTTGTCTTTTGTTGCCACATCTGCCTGCCCTGAGTGAGTATTCTTCCATCCTGATGTTCTTGCAGGGACCCAGGCGATGAAGACCAGGTTGTCTCTTGTTAACTTAAAAATCACACAATCTACAAACTTAGACAAGGAGACTTTCGTTTTTTTGTTTTGTTTTGTTTTTCTTTCTTTCTTTTTTTTTTTTTATTTAGACAAAGTCTCTCTCTTTTGCCCAGGCTGGAGTGCGGTGGTGCGATCTTGGCTTACTGCAACCTCTGCCTCCCAATACGAGGGATTCTCATGCCTCAGCCTCCCGAGTAGTTAGGATTCCAGGAGCACACCACCATGCCGGGCTAATTTTTGTATTTTAGTAGAGATGGGGTTTCGCTTCTATCCCACCTTGTTGATTGTTTTTTCTTTTTTTATATAATAGAGACAGTGTTACTGGTGGAGGGTGTTCAGGTTCTTGTCATCTTGTACAAAGAAGTGGGCAAAATGCACAAACACAGCAAGGAAAGAATGAAGCAACAAAAGCAGAGATTTATTGAAAATGAAAGTACACTCCACAGGGTGGGATTGGACCTGAGCACAGGGGCTCAGGAGCCTGGTTACAGAATTTTCTGGGGCTTAAATACCCTCTAGAGGTTTCCCATTGGCCACTTACTGTACACCCCATGTAAATGAAGTAGTGGCTTGCATTCTGTCTGATTGATTGCAGAAAGCAACCAACCAGAGGATGAAGTGAGGTTACAAAGGTTATACCCTATGCAAACGTCTGATTGGTTGTGGAAAGCAACCAATCAGAGGCTAAAGTGAAGTTATGAAGTTACACTTCTATGCAAACAAAGAGCCTGCAATCAATCTGATTGGTTGCAGAAAGTGGGAATGGGGGTAGGATTTGCAAGGGGAGTAGCCTCTGGTCCTTTTGTTACTTAGTTGTGGAAAGTTGGGGTTTTTCTTTTGATTTAGTTCTGGGAAGTCAGCATGAATTGGCTTTAGGTTCCCTGCTTCTAGACTCCATCCACATGCCTCAGTGGGGTCTTACTATGTTGGCTGGGTTGGTCTTGAACTCTTGGCCTCAAGCAGTCCTCCTGTCTTGGCCTCCCAAAGGGCTAGTATTATAGGTGGGAGCCCCCACGTCTGCTGAGGAGACTTTATTTCTTATAAGGGGTTACAGCCTGCAGGTGGCCATCCCATAGGCTGGGAAGAGCCTCCAGCAAAGACTGGAGACTGGCCCTCTGGGTGAAAAAGGGGTAAGTCAGGAATTTAAGTTGAACACGTTGACCAAATGTACATATTCAACAGGTCATCAGAGGAACTGTGAGTATTCAAGAAGGGGGTCCTGACGCATGCATATTGAACAAACATGCATGTAACATAGAACCCACGTTCACTTGAGGTGGAAACTTAACATTTGAATGTATTATAGTTAGGCCTTATATGTCAAGAGATCCTTTTAGGACATGAAAGCACTTAAGTGTGCAGCCTCTGTAAACTGACCAGGACTAGTTCATGATTGGTGGTCTCTCGTCTAGAGAAAGTTACTGACATCAGTCTCTTGTGCAATCAAAGCTGTAGTTATGGCTGGTCAGTTAGTCCGTGCCTATCTGCATGAACTGCAAATTGTTTTAATATTGCTTGAGACCAGTGCTTATTTAGGTGATAGAAAAAAAGAAAAACCCTGTGGCTGTTAGAACATAATTTATTCTTTTTTTTTTTTTTTTTTTTTTTTGAGACAGAGTTTCACTTTTGTTACCCAGGCTGGAGTGCAATGGCATGATCTCGGCTCACCGCAACCTCCGCCCCCTGGGTTCAGGCAATTCTCCTGCCTCAACCTCCTGAGTAGCTGGGATTACAGGCACACACCACCATGCCCAGCTAATGTTTTGTATTTTTAGTAGAGATGGAGTTTCACCATGTTGACCAGGATGGTCTCGATCCCTTGACCCTGTGATCCACCCGCCTCAGCCTCCCAAAGTGCTAGGATTACAGGCTTGAGCCACCGCGCCGGGCCAGAATTTATTCTTTAAGTGTAGGGGTGAGTGACTCAACCCTTGCCTGGTGTAAGGAACATGGCTTTGCTTTGGTCAAGGATAGGCTGAAGTAGGATGTTTACATCCTGCATGACTCAGCGAGTATAGAGCGCAGGTGTATAACTCTGTTATCCCATCCGTGGAACCATAACATGGGAAGGCCATCTCTTGGCACTAAGCTACTATTATCTATAAAAGGTATAATTGCCCTGCTGACACTGTACAGGTGCTGGTGCCCAGAGAAAGAGAGAGAGCCAGAGCTGTCCATCTTTGCAGATGGACAGAGGGGAGCCAGGACACAACTCGGCTCACTTGTGCCCAGAGAGAGACAGCGTTAAGCTGGCAACCCTGAAGGCAAGGGAGAGCTGGCTGTGCAGCTGTGTGTGTGGGAGCCACCAGACTAAGCGGTTGAGACAGGGCAGACAACGTGAGAAAGCTATTGGTGAAAACTGCTGCTGAATAAAACCATATTCACCTGACTACAGCCCCCTGAGTATTCTTTCTGCTCATCTACCCACTCCCTTTGGACCTCAGCATGGGCTAGAACCTGGCCCTGCGAGTGACTTTTGGCGTAGTCATGAACCTGACCCATGGCATGGCCGTAGGTCTTATTTATAGTTTGGTATCTTATTGTCAGTCTTTTGTCAGTCTTATGATCTCGATTTTAGCATTAATGCTCATCAGCTGTGTCTAAACCACAAAAGGAAAAGGGTATAACAAGGCCTGTCTGACCTCCCATCCTGTCATGGCTGGGAACTCAGTTTTTAAGACTTTTCTGGGGTCCCATTGGCCAAGAGAGGGCTCGTTCAATTTGTGGAGGGGAGCTTAGGATTGTATTTTTAGTTTATACTCAGAAGCTCCCTCTCACATCCGATTGTATGGAAACAGCCTTTTCATGTATTTTGTCCAGTAATTTATTTTTAATTTTTTATTTTTTTGCAGCAGATGGGCTCTTCCTGTTTTCCATCAAGGCCAGAAGCATAATTTGATGACAACATTCTTTTTTTTTTTTCTTGAGATGGCGTCTCGCTCTGTCACCCAGACTGGAGGGCAGTGGCATGATCTCGGCTCACGGCAACCTCCATCTACTGGGTTAAAGTGATTCTCCTGCCTCAGTCTCCCAAGTAACTGGGATTATAGATGCATGCCATCACGGCCAGCTAATTTTTGTACTTTTAGTAGAGACAGGGTTTCACCATGTTACCCAGGTTGGTCTTGAACTTCTGAGCTCAGGCGATTCACCCACCTCAGCTTCCCAAAGTGCTGGATTACAGGTGTGAGTCACTGCCCCTGGCCAATGACAGCATTCTTTTTTATCATTTTCTTTTTTGCTGTTCAGACACTGTTAATGGCTTGTAGTTTCCTATGATACTAATGAGGCAGGCTAGTTTATGACTGTTTTGTTCTCTTTTTTCTATCTCCTCCCGTGCGCCCTCTGAGCAGATAGCAGTACTCGTCACATGTGCTTGCTTCAGGAAACTGGTTGAAGACCACCCTTCCTCCAGCCTTGTGTGAGTCTGAACTTGTTGAAGAGATTTTGTCACAAGTTTAGTGGTGGGGGAAGGGCAAAAAGAGTGCTTTTGAGGTTTAAGAAGGAGAAGAAGATACTTTAGAACCGACTCTCACACCTCCTGCCTCCCAGCAGGGCCTTGAGCATGTGGTGAGACCCAGAAGGAAGGATGAAGGGAGGCTCGTGTTGGGTCAGCCTGGACTACCTCCTGGTGTGCTGATATGGTTTGAATCTGTGTCCTCATCCAAATCTCATATTGAAATATCATCCCCAATGCTGGAGGTGGGCCTGGAGGGAGGTGTTTGGATCATGGGGGCAGATTCTCGTGGTTTAGCACCATCCCCCTTTAGTGCTGTGTCACTAGTGAGTTCTCACGTGATCTGGTTGTTTAAAACTCTGTGGCACCTCCCCCTACTCTTTCTTGCTCCTGCTCTGGCCATGTGATGCACCTGCTTCCCCTCTGCCCTCTGCCACAATTACAAGCTTCCTGAGGCCTCCCTAGAAGCTGAGCAGAAGCCAGAACCATGCTTCCTATACAGTCTGTGGAACTGTGAGCCAATTAAATCTGTTTTCTTTCTTTTTTTTTTTTTTCTTAGACAGAGTCTCACTCTATAGCCCAGGCTGGAGTGGTGGCAGGTCTCGGCTCACTGCAACCCCCACCTTCTGGGTTCAAGAGATTCTCCTGCCTCAGCCTCCCAAGTAGCTGGGATTACAGGCATACACCACCATGCCAGCTAATTTTTGTATTTTTTTTTAAAGTAGAGATGGGGTTTCACTATGTTGGCCAGGCTGGTCTCTAGCTCCTGACCTCAGGTGATCCACCCACCTTTGGCCTCCCAGGGTGCTGGGATTACAGGCATGAGCCACCGCACCTGGCCTTAAACATTTTTTCTTTATAAATTACCCAGTCTTAGGAATTTCTTTTTTTTTTTGATATGGAGTCTCACTCTGGCTCCCAGGCTGGAGTGCAGTGGCATAACCTTGGCTCACTGCAACCTCCGCCTCCTGGGTTCAAGCAATTCTCATGCCTCAGCTGCCAGGTATTTCTTCATAGCAGCGTGAGAATGGACTGATACAGATGCTTAGGGTACCAGCAAGACAAGACCACTAAGGCATGAGAAGGCATTTTCAGAGTTGGTTAAAGAATATTTGGTAAATATACATGATGGAGTACTACACAGCCATAAAAAGAATGAAATCCTGCCATTTGGGACAACAGGAATGAATCACCATGTTCAGTGAAATAAGCCAGACACAGAAGACAGGCACTGCATGACCTCGCTCGGCGTTTAAAAAAAAAGTTGCAATCATAGAAGCAGAGAGTAGAGAGATGGTTACCAAGGGCTGCGGAGGGGAAGAGGAAGGGAGGGTAGGGCGAAGTTGGTCAGCAGTTAGGAGGAAAATGTTCTGGGGATTTACTGCACAATAGGGTGGCTATGGTGAACAGAAAAATATTGCATATTACAAAATAGCTAGAAGTTTTTAATATTCTCATCACAAAGAAATGATAAATGCATGAGGTATTAGACGCACTAAGTACCATGCAACATGGATTTATATTAAAACATGAGATGGTATCCCACAAACATTTACAATGACAATATGGTGATTAAAATACAAAAAGTATTTTAAAATATCAGAATTAATTTGATATTCAAAATAAAATTCAGAGTTGTCATTAGAAAAAAATCTGAATTTTGTTGGATTTTCCTGACATGTATTTATTATTATTTTTATTTGAAGTACCTATGGATGGACACTGCAATCTCTCCAGGGCTCTGCACCCCTGAAGACCTTAGGTCGTGGTCTGGACTGTGTCCCCTAGGAGAATTGTCTTGGCTGTGCTCCCAGGCCTCACTTACTTGTTTGCAAGGAGAATCATTAATTAGACTTTATGAAACCCTCTGTTTAGTTTTCCTCCTACCTAGCTAACATCTAAGGTGTTACCTATTCCAGTTTTTTTTTTTAAACTCAGGTATAGATTTTATTTCCAGGTGATATTTCACAGGCTGAAAAGCACTGCTAATGAACACAGGAATTCCTCAGTCTTACTTAGTCCATCCATCCCTTTAACATGGGATATTTCAAAGGCAGCGCTGCACTCAGGGGATGATGGAATCCCATCGTTCTGTAATCCCAGCTACTGGGGAGGCTGAGGCAGGAGAATTGCTTGAATGCAGGAGGTGAAGGTTACAGTGAGCTGAGATCACACCACTGCACTCCAGCTTGGGTGACAGAGTGAGATTCCGTCTCAATTAAAAAAAAAAAAAGAAATAAAATAAAACCAATGCCAGATGGTTGAAATTCTTTTGAGATAGAAGGCGGGACTCGACTCCAGAGGCAGGGCTCAGACACCGGACCAAATTGAGGACTAGCTAAAACGACTAGCTAAAAGACTTGAGTCAGGAAAGCCTTGACATTGCAAACTCTATGGCAAAACTGCATAAAAACTTGCTTCCAGCACCGCTTGAATTTTCTCGCAGGACTAACTGTCTGCTCACTCTGTCTGCCCTGTCTCTTTCCTGAACAGATCCTGACCTTCTCTCCAAATTACATCTCTCAGGGAGCAGCCACCCTGCCCTGCTTGTTCCGGTTCTGTTCTCCTTGTGATCCTCACTTCTGAGAGGTCTCCATGACCATAAATCACAGATATTTCTTTCCCTTTATGGGTCACACCTGGGTATGTAAATATCACATGCAGTCTGGGGCTGAGCATCTGAACATTGGAAATCCTGTGATCCAAACTCTGTTTGGTACCTTTCATGCATTCTCTCTTTCCAGCAGTTTCAAACTTCTCTGGAAATGGAGTTTTTCCCATAATCCACCATCCCGTATCTGCAATCTTAAAATCCAAAAGGCTCTGAAAACAGAAAAGGTTCATAACTTTGCAGCAAACTCACCTGGTAGCAAAAACTTGATCTGAACTGGGGCGGTTTATAGTCTTTATCCTGCTAAGTGTGATATTTGTGTTTTGCTTTGGAAATGCAAATGTGTTTGACTACAGGGTGCTACTTGTAGACGTCACTGGGGCTGCTATGAGGTATGAGGCCTGCGTACTGTATTAGCTTTTTGAAATCCAGTGCTTAATAAATCACAAAACACCCCAGTGGTTTCAGATGAGGGATTTTGGAGCTGTGCTGCTCTTCTGTCTCTAGCACATGCAGGGCACAGAGACCGTGATTTTGTGGGCTCCATGAAGGCACGGATCACACAGCCTTGGGACCAAAGCTGTGCCTGATGTGACACAGGTCTCCATAAAGGTTTGCCAAACAGGCAAGCGGGTGCTTACAATTTCCCATGACTGCCACTGAGATTACGTGTGCCTAAATAACTTGCCCGTCACTTAAGAGAGACCCTGTAAATGTCCTTTGATCAATTTATGCCCTGAGACTGTTGTCGACATTGTCGTTATTGTCATGTTCTCAAATATTTTTGCCTGAAGAGTTTTCCTGTCTGAGGACTTTTCACATGTAGAGGAATTACTTCTCATTCTTCCTGTTGAAATTCCTCTCAAATCTTTTCTGTCAGAGTTGCAAACACACTGACAGCTCCTGAATGATCTGATACAGGATCCTTAATAGGCGTGGAAGTGTTCGCCAGACAGAGAGGTCCTGCCCTTGCCGATCCCAGCTGGTTCTGTGTTAGAGACTCCGTGGGCGTCTGTTTGACAGTATCTGCCAGGAGCTGCAGAATAACTTTTCTGATCTGGAAGAGCAAATCTCAGATATTTTGCACATTCACAAGTATTTTAAAACAGTTTCTGTAAGATGCCAACATCACCTTTATAGTATTTTGAGGTTTTCCAGTGTTTACTGAGAAGAGCTCGGTTGTGTTTATACCGAATTTCAGGTGAGTTTCTTGACCACCCTTCTCACTTTACCACCAGCTTTGCTCTGGGCCCCTAACTGTATCGCCCGAGGATCCCGTGGATTCAGGTGACTGGTGCCCTTCAGGTTTCATTTGCGAGGACCCATCTACTTCCTGGGACTTTGGCTGGTATCTTTCTTCTGCTAAACCAGATTTGCTACTTCCTTTAAGATTCCATTCAAAACTCTCTCTTCTCAGGAACCTTTCCTGAAAACCCAACTCCCTATGCTGATTTGCTGATTTTTTCCTTATGATCCTTCCCTATGCCCTTGGTAAAATGAAGTTTGACAAACACAACTCTATGGCAATGAACATTTGCATTCATATAACTTTTCTCTTCTCTTTTTTTTTTTTCGGAGATGAAGTCTCTCTCTGTCAGCCAGGCTAGAGTGCAGTGGCGTGATCTTGGCTCACTGCAACTTCCGCCTCCTGGGTTCAAGTGATTCTCCTGCCTCACCCTCCCAAGTAGCTGACACTGCAGGTGCATGCCATCACGCCTAGCTAATTTTTTGTATTTTAATAGAGACGGGGTTTCACTGTGTTGCCCAGGCTCATCTCGAGCTCCTGAGCTCAGGCAATCTGCCCGCCTCAGCCTCCCAAAGTGCTACGATTATAGGTGTGAGCCACCGTGCCCGGCTTCTTCTCTTGAATCATTTGCTTAATCTCCCAGGAGTGAGTTTACTGGATGAAAGCATTCAGACTTTTTTTTTTTTTTTGGAGATTGGGTCTTGTTCTGTCACCCAGGCTGGAGTGCAGTGGCACGATCATAACTCCCTACAGACTTGACCTCTGGCCTCAAGCAGTCCTCCCACCTCAGCCTCCTTAGTAACCAGGATTACAGGCACACACCACCACACTGGGCTTATTTTTATATTTTTTGTAGAGACAGGGTTTCCCCATATTGCCCAGACTGGTCTTGAACTCTTGGGCTCAAGTGATCTGCCTGACGCAGCCTCCCAAAGTGCTGGGATTACAGGCATGAGCCACCTTGCCTGGTCTCATTTAGACAGTTTTGTTGCTGATATATTTTAATAATTTCTTAATTTCCTTCTCTTTATTCATATCCTGTATTTGGTGAGACATAGGTCTCGTACTTTCCTTTATTTCTTTAGATCTGGCTTTCTTTAATTCTTTGAACATACAGTTGTCCTTTGGTATCTGTAGGGAATGGGTTCCAGAACCCCTGGGGATACCAAAATCTGTAGATGCTCGAAGTCCAATAGCTGACTCTCAGTATCTGCGGATTCAACCAATCGTGGATTGAAAATCGCAATGCAGGAATGTGGATAGGAGGGCTGACCATACATGTGATATTTATAATAGCTGACTTGATATCGGCTCACTGCAACCTCCTCCTCTCGGATTCAACCGATTCTCCCACCTCAGCCTCCTGAGTGGCTGGGACTACAGGCATGTGCCACCACGCCCAACTAATTTTTGTATTTTTAGTAGAGACGGGGTTTATCATGTTGGCCAGATGGTCTTAATCTCTTGATGTTGTGATCTGCCTGTCTTGGCCTCCCAAAGTGCTGGGATTACAGGTGTGAGCCACTGTGCCTGACTGGTTTGTAGTTTTTTTTATTGAATGCTGCAGTCTATGTGTAGCATAGCAATGGAGACTGAAAGAAATGCTAATTTTTCTAGGAAGTGCTTGCCCTTTTGAGTGGCAGGTATCTTAGATTAGGATCTTATCTCTTCAATCTAATAATTATTGTACTGAATTAGAGTTGAGGTTGCCACTCCAGTTAATTTAGTTCACCTCTGGTTTCAAATATCTTGACTGGGAGATCACCCTCTCTTCAGCAGGGCGGTGAAATCTAAGCACCATGATATGACACCACAACATTTCCCTCTGCTTTTCTGTGTCATCTCCTGACTTCTTGGACACCGTTTATTCAATAAATTGCTATGGGAGAGAGTTGGAAGACAGACAGAGATGTCCAGTGCTGTATTTGGGATTCTTCCAGGTTCAAGTCTAATACCAGCTGTTAAATTTCCGGTTCGTTTCTCCTTATTCTCTCAAATTTTCTTTGCCTGTAGAAAACTTGATTTTCTGTTCATGTACAACCCCATGCTTGAAACTTACCACAGGAATGGACCACTGGTTTGCTCACCTGACATGGGCTCATCCATCTCTGGAATGTAGTTTATTTGGACTTTGAATCTGTAGGTTTTAAAGAAAAAGACAGTTTAATATCTCACCAGTGCTTTATCCTTGCTCTGCTGAAGTGGTGGTTTGTGATCTTTCACATCCTAACCAGAAGTTGAAACACTTAATATCTTTTAAATTTTGTAAAATCTTTTTTTTTTCATTTTTACATTTTATGTTTCTTTTAAGGCATTATTTGTTTTGTTTATTGGCGCTCATGTCCCTTCTAATTTAGTTTTTTTTTTTTTTGAAAAATTTCCTTTGTACTTCAAATTCTGTTTTGTGTTCTGTCATCTTCATCTGTCTTTCAAATCTTGTATTTCTCAATATTTCTAATTATGCCTTAAATGATACGTTGAGATACTTTAATGACATCTATCATTTTCTTAATTCTTTTTACCTCATTTCAAATATTAGGTTACATTTTCATCTTCATTGCATGTATACCTCTCTGTTGTATTTTAATTGTAGGGCCAATATTGTGTTATTATTCTGCTTTCTCTCATAATAACTTTATATTAGATTTGGCTAGCATCCATTTTATTGCCTTTTTAAGCAATAATGAAGAAGTGAAATGAGTTTTTTTTTGTTCATAGAATGAGGTATAGGTCAAGTTTGGAATGTAGACCCAAACTTCATGGGTCTACACTCCCTCTTCTGTTGTTTTTGCAAAATGATTTCAAAAATACTTCCTTTTATTTTCTGAGATCTGACATCCTGATCCCATTCCTTATTTTTTTCGGACTCATTTCTCTAATCTGAACATTTTGTTTGCTAGCTTTGAAGACTTATAGACCGCTTCACTGTGGTCAGAATAGTATCGTGCTCTCCTTGCACCCACCCAGGAACTGAACCGGTAGGGCCATTCCTCAGCCTGCCACTCTTGGATTGGAACTCTATGCTTTCAGTGAACACAGGTCAGCAGTGCTGTGTTTTCCTGTCCTCTGGACTGCTGGGATCCCCAGTGACTTCCCCGACTTCCCAGTTGTTTCCCCTACACAGATCCTCATGCCACGCGGCCCCTGCAGCTGTTCGTGGTTTTGCTGCATACTCTTACTGTGAGATTCTTTGGGATTCCTGGTCATTGATTTTGTTGTAGAGATACAAAGTCTTTGATTTTGACATGCTAGTTATTCAGTCTGTTTTTATGGGGAAATTTGAGGAGATTAAATTAGTATTCCCTATAATCTCCCAATAATCCTTATCATAATTATGTTCAAAGACTATAGAATAAAAATAGTTTACTGATTATCCACCTCTGGTGCCAGTCAACTGAGGTATTTCTGAAAAGGATGATTCTCTCCCAGTTTGGTGGCTAGACAAGGTCATTCAACATCTATGGCTGTTTGCAAAGATATGACTCTTTGCAAAGACCCCTAAAGCCCTGATCTGGTTCCTCGACACCTTGAATTTTCTCTGTCAAGGGCTGAATTGTGTCCACTAAAGGTCATCTGCTGAAGTCCTAACCCCCAGCACCTCAGAATGTGACTGGATTGGGAGATAGGGCCCTTAAAGGGGTGACTGAGGTTAAATGAGGTCACAGGGATGGATTCTAATTTAAACTGACCGGCATCCTTGTAAGGAGAGGAGATTAGGGCACAAACAGCATAAAAGAAAGACCCCATGTAGACACAGGAGAAGATGCCATCTGCAAGCCAAGAGAGGGGCTTCAGAATGAAACCCACACTACAGGCACCTTGGTCTTGGACTTTCAGCCTCCAGAACTGTGAGAAAATAAATGTCTGTTGTTTATGCCACCCGGTCTGTGATATTTTGTTATGACAGCCCCAGCAAATGAATTCTGTCTCTCTCTCTCTCTCTCTCTCTCTCTCTCTCACACACACA